AAGACACGCCTTGTTCACAGACAAACATCGATAAGAGGAAGTGGAATTTTTACAGGCTAAATATAGTTGGAAAGCAAACACAAACATATTTTTTTATTAGCCTTAAACAAACTAAGCAACTCCCTTGATTAGCCTTAAGCAAACATAACATTTTCTTTTAACAACATAAATTACCCTCAGTGATCCTACACTTTAGGGAATTACCACTGTCTTGTGTTCTTAGGCACACCTCATTATCATTTACCACGGAATATAAACAAAAGTGGATGCTGTGGAATGTAAATAAGCTCACGGCCTTGACTTGTCAAGGCTCTCTGGTGGGAATCTAATCAAATCAACTCCACTCAACAATGAAAAACAGAGAGACCAGGAACGCAGCAGGAAGAGTGGATGCAAAAAGTCCCACCTGAGAGTAGCCACCAAAACTGCAGTAAGAGTAGAAATTAGGGATGGGTCGTGTCGTGAATGCTCCAAAACCACAACATACCTACACCAAAAAGAGGTACATCAAAAACTAAGCAATTCCATATCATATCTCATTTTCATCAAAAAATCTTTATCATGCCATGCCCGCTCCCATCTCTAATAAAAACAGAAGTTCCACTTGAGAACGAGTCTTCTTGCTCCGCCCCCGTACACACCCAAGCCTACGATGACTTGGCTTATGCAATGGAACGTGAATGAAATATTTTTCCTTATAAAAACTTATGATCTGACGATGAAATGCGCTAAGTGAAAAGAAAATACTATTAAAACTCAAACATTTTGGATGTTTGCCAACGAAAGAGCCTCTGATTGTGTGTGTGTTGCAATAGGACAGGAGGGTGGGGAAATATTTGTGGGAAATTCCGTGGAATAAAGAAAATATAGACAAAATTCTATGTACATCATTTCGGTTTAATATATTTCTCTGATCCCACGCACAGCTACGAACAAAAAAAAATTAGGTGCTGGACAGAGAGAGAGAGAGTGACACACCCACACGAAGCAAAACACCAACAAAAAAATGTGCAGTTTTGTACCAAAATAAAACTGTAAAACAAAAACAGAGAGCGCAGAATGGGGGCCAGTGAATGAGGATACAGCCAGCATGAATAGAATCAAGGTACATATATCGAAAAGGGTATGCAGCTTCGACTGAATCTACCTTGAGTGGAATGATATGCAGGTGCAAGGAGTTTTAATACAAGATGAGTCATGTATTACAGACACAATTTGCCGGCAAAAACAACGATTACTTACCAAAACGGCACTCTCACGCACCAGTTGAGAGACATTCTCTCTCATCTGCACCGCCGAGCTAAGCTTATTCAAGCCGCGCGTAAATTTACGCTCCATTCTCTCGATTTCCTTAACACCCTCCTCCTCCTCCTACTCCTGTGGCAAAGGGCTCGGGAAGCGTTGAAGCATGGAACAAACAAGTTGTTGTTGTTGGTGCTGCGGCTGCTGTTTTTGTTGTTGTGCAAAAACCGGCGGCACGACGAAAATAGACACCACCCCACATGCACACACGTACACGTACACCACAAGCGGACAGGATGCGCCGCACTGGGCTGCGCTGCCTCCCGATGACTAATTTCGTTGTCCTTTCTGCTTTTTTTCCACACACTTTTCTCCAACAAGCAGAACTTTTCCTCGGGTTTTTCTTAATTTTCCTACACACTCGGTAAAAAGGTAAAGGACTTTGATATACACAAAACTGGACCGCACCAATACACATAAACACTACATTCCAGTCCCTTTTTAGGGTGGAGAAGGGCACGCTGGGAATGTATTTTTCTGCCTCTCTCAGTAAATATCATTTATCCCCAAAGCATATAAGCAATATTTTTTAACGAGCTAAATACAGCTGTTTACACATTTTTATAGACGTGCACGCACGACTTGTTGTTTTCAGTTTGGTCGAGAACTTGTGTGTTGTTGTTTTGCCTGAACCATGTTTTAGCGGCGCGGCACGAGTCTTTGCAGCACAATTTTTGAAAAACAGAGCAGTGCGCTCCACACGACCGGCGTCCAAAAAAACCAACAAAATTTGTGGCGACTGGGCCCTAGAGGTGTCAAACCATCGATGGCACTATCGATATTTTACTGCTAGCCTCTACTATCGACGGGCCCGATACTATCACGATAGTATCGATTGTTTTTTCAAAACATTCAACGTTGATATTCCTCGATTTTGATATTCCGTTTAATATTACTAGCTAGGTGGGACTCTCAGCCCTAAACAAATAATTTTATCCGATAGATACATAAGTTTGGTTCAGGATTGGCAAGTTTTCAGAAGTCTTTTTTATTGGATTATTTACATATTAAGGTTGAAACAAAAACAACATAAATCGAATGTGTCGTCGTTTTGTGGCGTTGCCAGACTCGTGCAATTCGTAGTTGCTACGGGCTGCCATACCATGATATTTTGTGACATGATATTCCTCGATTTTTATATTCCGTTTAATATTACTAACTAGTTGGCCCTCTCAGCCTTGAGCAAATAATTTTATCCAATTCCTCAATGAATTTTGTTCAGGATTGGCTAGTTTTCAGAACTCTTTTTCATTGGATTGTTTCCATAATAAGGTTCAAACAAAAACGGCCAAAGCATAACACGTAAATGTTGACGTCAGTGTTGCTGGTCAACCAAGTATCTTTTATGCGTATGTACTTTTGTATACCTTATTTCTTTTAATTGATGTTAAATGTTTTGTTCCAAGCTCCATTGAAACATTATTTATGATTTTATCCTAGATTATCATGTTTTTTACCTATAAATGCACATGTTTGTGTTTTATATATACGTTTATACCGGTTCTGATACCTATTATTGGAACCCGTGAGCTGCAAAACTTTGTTAGTATCTTTAGAACAGAGACTGAATAGTTTTTGCATTAATTGGAGCCTGAAATTACAAACAATATCTCAAGTCCATAATATCCATTTTCCCAAGGTATGCAGATTGTTGCTCATTCCGTGCCAAAGCTGCACAACAATGCTGCCTCTTCATTTCTACATGCTGCTGAATTTTTTCCGATACAAATCAAATGTATCTTGATTCATTGTTGCGTCATTCCATACGCGTTCCCGTAAGATACATGTTTCTCGCACCACGAAAAGTCCCCAAGAAAGCGCTCTCTTCACCTCTGAAAAGAGAGCAAATTTTGAAACGCTCTCCAGACTCATTAATTTGTGAGCCACTATCGATAGTATCGATATTTTGATACGTTTTTGTGGCGTTGCCAGACTCGTGCAATTCGTACTTGCTGCGAGCTGCCATACCATTATATTTTGTGACATGAAATTCGTCAATTTTGATATTCAGTTTAATATTACTAGATAGTTGGCCCTCTCAGCTCTAAAAAAATAATTCAATTCCTCAATGAATTTTGTTCAGGATTGGCTAGTTTTCAGAACCTCGGAAAAGAGAACAATTTTTTAAAAACCCACCATGAATTGAGAGCGAAAAATGTCAGTATTTTTTGTGCGCTAAATGGAAATTGGCGGTCATTTGAAAATGGTATTTTTATGGCAAAGTCTGGCATGGCAAGTTTTGCATGGTACCTACACGCTAACTACACTACACATTTGCAACTTAAAAATATGCATACGATTAATATATAAATAATCATGAACTTCCAAGTCACTCATTTTTTATTCTATAAACAATTTGGATGAATTTATTATAAGTTAGAGGCGTCATAGCCATTGGTATGGCTTCTTTGATGTGCAATCAAAAATGTAATTATTTTGTTTGTCAAGTTGTACGAATATGTTGGGAAAAACCCTAAGAAGGGATCAAAATTGGTGATCTTTGGTGTTTGTGTCTGCTCGTATTATCAACATTTTAATGGGTATTCGGTGGCATTCCGGACACTTGTTTCGCTTGTATGAATATTAGAGATAGACTGAACCCCATTCTAGAAACTAATGGTTTAAACAATTAAATTCAGATTTTTAAACACATTAATATGGTACATTTCTTAGGAGAGAAAATGAGAAAAAAAAATACGCTGCGAGAAAACAGGACAACAAATGATTCCCAACATAACTCATCGAAGATTATTGGCTTGCAGCCAAACGGTATACAGTAAAATGGATTTGCACAAGGCACAAGAGCCCAAGCATCGGCCTTGAAACATAAAATTTCATTGTTGTTTCTATGCGGCGGTAATTAGATTTGAAGAAATCTAATAAATATTGAAATAAATTAATTCTATATAAGATTTTAGGGGAAAAATAGCACCATTAAAGAGGCTAAAGTCCGGGTCACTATTAAAGAGATTTCAGCAAATACCGATTAAAATGAGGAAAGCGAATAACTTTAACAACTTTCAGATACTCTTGCTAGGCAATTGATTCTATGACAGATAAGTTCCCTGAATTCTTGTATAGTAGCTGTTCTAAATTGAGGATATGGAAATAATGGCAGTGATATGGAATTTCATTTAATGCAATTTCATAAATGAAAGAACGACAGCTATAAGATATTCAGCATACCCGGCCTTGGTCCATTTAATTATAATTCGAGTCCATGCCGGAAGCGGCGAACAACTTAAATATATACATATATAAAAAGACATATTTTGGTACATACATAATATATGAAAAGATTAGAATTAGTTTAAAATTGAAATATATGCGTACATGGGCGTACCCAGGTAGAGGCTGGGAGGGATGAAGCTGCCCCCATCCATTAAGCATAGTTTTTGGTAAGAAAAACCAATTTTAATTGAATGACATTTTTGTTGTTTAAGTGATTTCATGTGAAAGGGGTGCCGCCCCTTCGCGAAATCCTGGTTACGCCCTTGTACATATGTATACTGTATTAAGCATGTCGTATGAGCAAAGTGATAACAATAAATATATTTAAATGGGACTTGAATTGGAAATCAGTTCAGTTTTGCATCGACAGTGCGAGAGTCAAGTGAAATATGAAGTTCTCGACATTTCTGGTCCTTATCCTTTGGATGTTTCTGCAGGGGATGTCCTCCCTTGCCAGTGGATACGAAATGGCGCAGGATGTTAGCTTCCCGGAGCAGTGCCATGGATATTGTTTCTCAGTACTCCAGCCATTAATCGATCATGTTCTCAAGTTAAAAGAGGCAACGGATGACAATGATAAAATGAAAGTCGAAAAGATACACTCACTGGAGCTTACCATTAACAATTTGCAGAGTCAGCTACTAAAAAGTGAGACGGAAATAAAAAACAATGTGGAGCAAATCAAGGTTAAAGACGAACAAATCAAGCTGAAAGACGATCAAATCAAGCAGAAAGACGAACAAATAAAGAATCTCAGAAAGCAAATCATAGGGAAAGTAGGGGAAATCAACGGGAAAGACAAAGAAATCATCGTGAAAGTCGAAGAAATCAAGAATCTCAGAGAGGATGTGAAGATGATTTCGTCACTCAATAGTGGCTCAGATGACATTTTTAAGATGAAGGTCAAGGGATGGACGGTCATTCAACGGCGTATCAACGGAAGTGTTGACTTTAATCGCAACTGGACGGATTACAAAAATGGATTTGGAGATGAACGGGGAAGTTTCTTCCTGGGACTGGAAACAATCCATCTAATGACCCTGGCCCAGCCTCACGAGCTGTACATCCAACTTAGATATGTGAATGGAACCACAAAATATGCTCGATACGATGATTTCAAAGTAGGAAGCGAAAATGAAGCCTACAAACTGAAATCGCTGGGAGAGTATTCAGGAACGGCCGGAGATTCATTTAGTTACCATCTAGACATGAAGTTTTCCACATTGGACCGGGATAATGACCTGGCTGAGTCTTTCAATTGCGCCAGTGCTCATGCAGGTGGTTGGTGGTTTAAGAATTGCTCTCTCAGGTACTCATATTTGTGAATGTGAATTCAGACGAATTTATCGTATTAATTTTCTTATTGTTACAGTTCCCTCAATGGAAAATATTATGACGATGGTAAAAGAACTCCCTCTCAAAAATTCGGCATTCATTGGGCTACTTGGAAGAACTATGACTACACGATCTCGCTTACATTTTCTCAAATGATGATAAGACCTTAGCCGTTATAAAATGAGTCTTTTTAATGATATTTTAATAGTTAAGTTAATGCTGAAAGACGAATATACCTCTACAAATTAAATTCTAAAATTTGTACAATTAAATAATAAAAAAAAAACAGCCCTGTCGTTGGGACAATATCTGTCAATACCTGCCAACGAAATGGATCAACATTTTGCAGCCCTAGCTAGCTGGTAATATTAAGCTGAATATTAAAATGGAGAAAACTAGAATCGTTTCAGCATTTAACAGCAGTTGAACCTTATTTTATTACACATTCGTCAGTAGAAACTATTATTACATTACATTACATCTACCGAGGCTTTAATAATAAGGCTTTAACAATCACAGTTGGCTTCCCAAATTTCCAATGTCAAATGCAATTAACAAAAATATAAAACGCGCTCCATTTACAGAAACATAAGAGAGAGAGAGAGAAATTTCTGAACCACATTTGGAGTTGAAAAGTTAATTACGAAAATCACACATTAAAATGTATATACATATATATACATATATTCCGAAATCAAACTCACAGTACTTTCAAAATGTCTCAGATATACACTGGATTCTTCGACTGCTTGGACTTGCTTTGCAATTGTAATTGGATGTAATTGGATCCTCAAAATTACGGAATTCCCGGTATGAAAAACCTGGGAGTCGCGGCTAAAATTAACGAGCTCCAAATGTTTGCAATTAACCACGACACACAAAGATAATAACGATATACTAATTTAAAAAAAGCCGTCCACTAAACAACAAAATTATTTGCGTGTATTTACGAGGGGTTTAATGGAACGCATAAAATAATTTTGGCAATTCAATTTCTGTGTTGTGATTAAAACACCCACCTCTTGTTCCGGTTGCTAACAAAATATATTTACGAAAAATGCAAATCCAAATGCAAATCAATATATGAGGTTGTCGAAGAGTCTTCTTTGAGGAGGAAGATCGGGCGGAGGCAGACACCACGCGGGGTCTAATGGACAGACAAGGAGCAAACGATGGGCAGCTCTGCAAGAAAGAAATGTATGCAAAGAGAATGGTTCCTTGAAGATCGATTTCGCCTGTTCAGTGTTTCTATGAAGGGGTGCTGGTGCCGCCTTGATCCTCGATTGCCGATGTGGCGAGTGGTAATTCTTCTGAACCCTTTTTGCCGGTTCTGCTGCTGGCCTGCTTCTCGCTTTCTACACGGGAACAATTTCAATCGGAAAAAAAGGAAATTTTAAGTTAAAAACTCAAGATTCGGTTGAATTGGAGCCTGGAGCCTGGTACTTGCCTGTGGGCTGACAGAACTCTTCGTTCTTTTGGCTTGTGCCTCTGCTCTCATCGGACTGTTCATTGCAATGTCCGTCCATCAGTTGGGGGGCTTCGTGGGAGCGTAGCAGGAGGCTCAGCTTCTGCGCCAGCTCTTCCTTATGTTCATGGGCCTGGAACAGTTGCTCGGTCAGGGCTTTGATCTGTTGATCCTTCTCTTGTAGCAGGCACCTCTGCTCGGCGTCCAGATTCTGCTGCTCGTATTTCCAGACCGCTTGCTGGCGCCGCTGCAGGACGAGAGCATTGAGCGTCTTCTGGTGGATTTCTCCCAACTCGTAGATGTTCAGTGAAGTGAAGCCCCGCAGGCGACTGTCCAAGTCTTTGATGCTCGCCTTCTGCTGCAAAACGTCCATCTGGGCGTTGCGCATTTCGTGCTCCTCCTCGATCTGGCCCAGCCATCTGGGCTTCTTAGCCTCGTCCATGTCCGCGCTTAACAACTTTTCTTTGACGAAATTGTATTCGTTGGCAATCGCCTGCCGATCCTTCATGTTGTGCTCAGCATCCACCAGGGCGAGGATGACATTCAACTCGTTATCGATCCAGTTGGAAGCGTCCCTATGGTCTTCAATGGCCTTCACTTGGCTCTGAGTCGATGGATGGCTGTGCCGCTTCTTGGTGGCCTGGGCCTCCTCGCACTTTCTCATCTTCTTTCCCTTCTTTGCCGCCTTGCTCTTAGTCTTTCCCTTCGCTGTGCTCTCCGTCTGAGGGTCCTTGCTCTCCACCTGGAGCAGCTGCATATTGCTCGCCATCTTCAACTGGCGGTACTGCTGGATAATCTTCCATTTTGATTCATTTATGGATTTGATTTCGGCGTTAAGTTCACTCAAACTTTTGCGGTCCTCCTTGCGCATCATCAGCTCGTTGGCCAGTGTGAGATGCTTGGTGATCTGTTCCTGCAGCAGTTGCAACTGTTTGGCTCGTGCCTCGGCCGAGGTGTCCTGCATCTTCATGCTGGTCAGCTGATTGAGCAGAGCGCCACCCTTGGCCAAGAGATCTGCGCCAGCTTCCTCGTCGTCGCCATCTCGCTCAGAGTAGTTGCAGCAGACAAAGTCGTACAGCAGTTGCTTCTGCTCTAGACTCTGGTTATGGCTGCGCAGATTGTCGATCAGTTGCAACTGCTCGCTGGTGATCTGCTCCGGCTGGAAGTGGAGCATCTCTGGCACCTCGTCCCCGCGACCGTCGTTCAGCTGCAGATCGTGATACGCCAGCTTTATCTCATCAGCCTGCTCCATGAGGGTCTCGACAATACCATCATCATCCCCACCACCACCACCACCACCACCACCACCACCACCACCACTCTGTTGGTCTTCAGTCGCTGCCGAAATGTCGGGTTCGGTGGAACTCTTTGGCTCGGACTCTCCGGTGGCCTGCAGCTCACTGCGCTGCTGCTGAATGCTGAACTCGTCCAAAAGCGAAATCATGTTGATCACCGGCTTATTTTTAATTTGGAGAGTTCGATTCGCATAGCGCAGGGTGCTAAGGGTCTCTGCCACATTATAGTCGGAGCAACTGACGCAGGCAATCATCAAGGTGATGGAGTTGCCGCCCAGCGACTCCTGCAGGAAGCGCGTCAGCTTCGACTGTCGGTAGGACACGTGTCCAGCCGGAGTTCTGCTGGAGCCCAAAGCGTTGAGCACGTTGCCAAGGGCCAGCAGACTCTTGTTTATGTTGACGCCCTCCTTGAACCGGTCGCCCCTCGTCAAGGTCTTGGTGCAGCGCTCCGAGCCGGCCAGATCCACCAGGTTGAACCTGGACGTCGTCACGGAGTTGGCTCCTTCGCCAGCCAACTTGGTGGCCACAATGGTAATTGTGAATATTGCGTGGGATCGGGAAGACTTCTTGCTCATCGCCGTAGATGCAGTTGTGCGCTTGGCAGAGCCCCATATCAGATGTTTGGTTACCTCCTGGGCGGAGCCAACCTGCAGCTGGGTCAGGCCAGGCATCAGAATTCGGTTCTCCGACTCGTGCATTTTGACGGGACTCTTTCGGGGCGAAAACAGATCGAACGATTGCTCCAGGTACAGCTCCACGAAAGAGCAGCTCACACTGAAATCGTATTCATCCTTCAGCAGTCCAATCTCCTGGAAAATGGTGTCCACTGCCCTCGGGATCACGCCCATATTGTCGTCGGGCACACCACTGCAGGCCGTGTCCATGGTGTAGGTCTTGCCCGAGCCGGTCTGTCCGTAGGCCAGGATGGTCACGTTGTAGCCATCGAGCAATTTCTTCACCTTACCCCGGACACAGGTCTCGAAAATGTCCTTCTGCGTGTCAGTGTGATCGAAAACATGGTTAAACTTGAACCATCTATTGCGATTCACCGAATGAGCAACAATCATTCCGTGCCAAAGTTGCACAACAATGCTGCTACTTCATTTCCCAATGTTGCTGCCACACCACGAAAATGAGGGGAAAGTCTCCACAAAAACACTCTATTCTCCACTGAAAAGAATTGAGAGCAAATTTTGAAAACTCTCCACGAATTGAGAGCAAATTTTGCAAACTCTCCACGAATTGAGAGCGAGTTTTGCAAACTCTCCACGAATTGAGAGTGAATAATATCGATATTTTTATGCGATAAGTGGAGTCTGGCGGTCATTTTGAAGCGTATCTTTATATATAAACAAATAAATTGGAACTTGATTAAATAATATACCGTAAGTATTCTGAAGGACACGACAAGATGCGTTGATATTCCTAATATTCAGTTTACTATTACTAGATAGTTGGCTCTCTCAGCCCTAAACAAATAATTTTATCCGATAGATACATCAATTTTCTAAAAGATTGGCAAGTTTTCAGAAGTTCGTTTCATTGGACTATTTACATATTAAGGTTCAACCCAAACGGCCAAAGCATAAAACGTAAATGTTGACTAAATGTGACGTCAGTGTTGCTGGTCAACCAAGTTTCTTCTATGCGTATGTATATCGTATTTTCTTTAATTGATATTAAATTTATTGTTTTAAGCTCCATTGAAACATTAATAATGCAGTTTTCTTAGATTGAGATGTTTTTTACCTATAAATGCATATGTTTTGTGTTTTATAAATACATTTATCCCGGTTCTAATAACTATTATTGGTACACGTAAGCTGCAAAATTTCGTTAATATCTTTAAAACAGAGCTAAGTAGTTTCTGCATTAATTGGAGCCTGAAATTACCAACAATATCGCAAGTCCATAATATCAATTTTCCCAAGGTATGCAGATTGTTGCTCAGTCCGTGCCAAAGTTGCACAGCAATGTTGCTATTCATTTCCCCATGTTGCTGAAATTTGGAAAAACCACAACGACTTGAGAGCGAAAAAGGTCGGTATTTTTTGTGCGCTAAATGGAGTTTGGCGGTCATTTTGAAAAAATAGATTGAATGTTGATTAAATATAATAGAAAATGTATATTAAGAAGCACAAAACGTAACGCCTGGATCGAAACGTAAGTGGATTCGGAATGTTACGTCATCTGAACACCTGTTTGTTTGTCAACGTATGGACATTTTCGCATTATAGCATAGTTCTAGCATTTGTAAAAGTAGAATTTCTTAAAAAATTTGTTCAAATTTGCTATGAAGTCTAATAAATATAACCAAGGCTTATTAATATTATCTAGCAGTTTTAACTTTATAGCTTTATTGGCGCATAAAAAGTATCGGATGGCATATGAACTAGAACTTTCTAGTGCTGCAAAACGAAATAGTTCTCGCCCATCGATACCATGTACATTCGCAGCCGTTTTTTTTTGTTTTGACCAATTTGTCAAGGAAAATAATGGATGATTAACCTAAGCCGGTGCCACTGTCGGCTGGCCATGTAACATCATCAATTTCTGTGGCTGTAGATCGGCAAGGAGTGTGTTCCCTTCAGATTCCAGCCAATCGATCAGCTACAATAGTACTTGGAGTCGCCAACGCAACCTTCCATTTAGTATCTACAGCAGCTTTGCATCTCATCGGTCCGCAAGAGCTGCGTGTCCAAATCAACTAAAAGCTGGACCACTATTACCTGTACACCAAATAGTATGTGCTGGCGAGGGAGCAACAAAAACCAGCAGGCGCTATCACCGCAAACCACCTCTAATATTGTCACATTCGGTCCGTGTAAATGTAATGCAGAGACCGGAACAGTGGCATCAGAAATTAATCGTACTGCAGTGACGAGAGCTTCACCCATGCCATGGACTCATGCCACAGGTGTATATGGGACACCACGCTGCGAGGCAGTTAGCCAATCCCCGAAAGGCACTCACTCAGATCTCCTCCTCCCTTCCCACAGATCTCCATTTTGGGCAGCTTGTGCCTGAATGCCAATAACAAGGAAATCAAATGAGAAAGCGTCATGAATCGGAAGTCGCAACCTCACGCAAACCCAAAAGCAGACCAACCAAAAATAAGCTCAAATTGGTGTAGTTTTAAATGTATTAATTGTGGACTGGCCTTGATCTCAAATGCCTGAAAGCATCGTCTATCTCCATGTACTTGCTGGTGTCCAAATTATCCAGTTTGGTCTCATGTCAAATTCTTTATTGTACAAAATATATTTCGAATGTACAATGTACTTACATGTATGTATACATTAATGCAGAAATCCAAATCTCAGTAAAAATTATTTGGTGGTCCTGAAGAGGACCGATTTGTATAGAGTGGAGCTCATGCTGCACGTTAAGCCGGATTCGATTTATGGGTTAGCAACTCAGCTATTACCACAGCGCGTGCTATAAATCGTACGGCAGTTTTCACACACTCCTCTCCATGCGTAGTTTATGCAAACTCCTAGACATTCACGCCTCACCAAAGTGGGGAATGGATATATGGATATAGGACTCCCATGTAATGCGGTCGTTGATATAGTTATGCTGAGATTCCACAGTTCGATATTTCAGATTTTACGTGTGCTTTAACACCGTATCCACTCTGCAGTAATTTTTCTAACAATTTTTTTTCCATAGAATTTGAAATTATCTGCCGGCGTTCCTCTAGCCATTCGATTTGCAGGACATTCATCGGAGATAGCCCCCATAAGTCTGTGTAAATTTCCCAGTTTGTTTCCAGGGCAATGCACAAAATGAATATTTCCTTTTCCTAAGAACATCTACTCGTAGGTCGATCGGGATCTTTAATTCTAAACTTTTCCTCCCTTATAACCTTTTCTCTATTCCCCATTCCATTCTTAATATTTCTCTTAGTGTGTAGTACATACTATCTTCTGTACCCACATAATTCTTGGGGTATCCATATCCCATTCCTTTGACTTGGCTCAACTTGTGTTTATGTTTGCACACGAAAATAACTTTGCTCATTATCTTATCCAAATCTTGATGATGCATCACATTGTATGCATAAGAAGGCTTACAATTTCATTGAGGGATCATTTTATTTCCAGAAGCTTTCCGTAAGATGCAACGTAATAAATTGTACGTAGCACATGCCCAAAGAGAAGAATCGGATTGTCTGACGATTCCCATAAGGGAATATGGGAATATGATACTGTAGATATCCAAATTTAAAGGTTTTCCTTCCGGTAAGTCACTCTTCTGCACGCTTTTGTTCTTCTTTGTGTACATAGCATGCGAAATACATCGATGTTTAAAGCTTTGGGGCGCACTTCAATTCTCCGTGGAGAAGAGTTGACCCTCGGACTCTGTCTTTCCCTGCGGTGTAAGCGCAATCCTTTGTTCAACTTTCACCCTTAAGTACAATCTAAAGAGAAGGCAACACCAGTCTAAAGTCAGTTTAAAGTCTGGTCAGAGAAAGGAGATAAATAAATACGGAGAGGAAAAGTTATCTGCTATGCGCCACAAAGATACAAGATCCATATACGCGGCAGCTGAACAAAGAAGTAGATAAGCGAGCGAAAGAGGTACGGTTCCCAATGCCCAAGTAGAGTGACTATGAATATTTCTATGAACTCCTTTAGATGTAAGATGGCATTTCCAAGCAGCTCCTTTCGTTATTGTAGCACCCCTAACCCAGGTCACTCCATGGCCAATTTGGTGGCATCACTCCTGTTATGCATGCTCTGGCTTGTAGTAATCCATACAGTTCCATTGGGCAGCGCGTGATTTTTCGAAATTTCGGCAAGCTCAGCGGAATGCATCGATGGATGACGGACGACGACGATGACTGCCGAGTTGGGAGGAGGAGGGTTCATTGAAAGACGACACCCAATACCGAGAAAACAGCACAAAAAAAGAATACCATACCGTCCAGAGTCTTGAATGTTGAACAAGACCAAACGAAGTGAAGCAGAGCCCCTTTCCGTATCCGAATTATTATTATTTGGAACCATATTTTCAGAACAAAATAGCTTGATGTTTATACATATAGTAGATTCGATTCACTGACGATTTTTTCTTGTTTTTCATTCGTTTTATTATTGTTTCTTTTCTTTCCTTTTTTGTTTTTGTGTTATTTACGAACATTCTGTTTTAGACACAAATACAAATACATACTTAGTTTTTTTTATGCTTTTCGGTTTCTTTTTTCGTTGTTTCTTTTTAAAAAACTACTACAAAAAATTGTTGTTGTTGTTGTTGTGGGTGTTGGCTGTTAGCGCTTAAAGATCCACAACATATAGCTTATGAACTACAACATATAGCATTCTAATGGCATACATACTTAATGGGCATGTATGCGGGTTATACTCATAGTCATATATCAATATACTAATATATATTCATATAAAAAAATACAACAAATTTGCAATTCGTTTCACATTTAGTTTTTATCATTTCTTTTCCTCATCTCTTCTTCCTTTTGTTTCGTTCCATCTCGTAACATCATTCTCGTTTACTTTTAATTTTGTTTGGATTTCTTCCTCTGTTCTGGATCCGGTCGGCGCCAAAAATGCAGACCAATGAAAATCGTAGAGACAGAAGACAAAAATCACAAAACCACCAAAACAACAACAAAAATTCACAAATACATGGTAAATATTTTCATTTAACATTGAGGGCTATGGCAAAAAAACGTCATCATCATTTATCAGCATGATTGATTGCGCATCAATCATATTTTAGAATACATTTAATCTGGTTCTTCTACGTATTGTTTTTTTTCTTTTGTTGAAACGCAATTTTATAAAAAAAAAGTATTAATTGTAAAACTTATAAATACTACAACGTACGAGATCCGATCCGCCGAAATCTCATAGAATTTAAGCAAAATTTAATGAAACACAAATTACAAATTAAATAAATTAAACGTAAATTAAGAGTTACATATAGGCATAAAGTATGCAGAGAATAACTTGTAATATATGCATATATTAATAAAGAGAAATATTTTAAAGACGCTCGTGTGTGTGTGTGTGTGTGTGTGTGTGATCGATTCGATTACGATTTCGATTAGCCAAGGAGAGAATGTATGATCGATTCGAGTCGATTCGATTTCGAAAGCGAAGCCAAAGGAGAATAGAATGCATAGCAGGAAGCTCGAAAGAGGTGATCGAATTCGAATTCGAACGAACATTAAGGGGTGGCTGGCTGGCACAAGAGAACAAAATGGGAACAACAACGGGGGCTATATAATATTACATATAAAGAAATTGCACTCAAATTTTGTGTGTGTGTGTGTGTGTGTGTGGGAAAGAATATATATCTTTTGGACATAACAGAAATTGCACTCAAATATAAATATCTATCTTTTAAAAAGTATTTAAAAGAACTCAAGCAGCCGTTTTTTTTTCTTGCCAATTGCACTTTTTGTTTTGTTTGTTGTTGTTGTTCTCTGGTTGGTGTATGTATGCATGTTTTTTGTACATTTATTCTTTTCTTTGTTTTGCCAATCTGTTTCTGTGTGAGTTCTTAATTTAAAAAAAATGTATATATGTATATATTCATATTGTTTAAAGGAAATTACTATTTTAGCAACAATCGAGTGATCACATCGTTTAAACATACGTACATTTGACTTAAAACTACATCAAAATCAATCATAATATAACAACAAATATTAGAGCCCTGGCCCAGCGGGCACAGGCTGTGTGGGGCTGGGGGGGGGAGGCAGGGGGCTATATGGTTATCAAAACCTTAACCTGAATTCACAAATTTCTTTGTGTGTGTGTGTGTTCCCCTTTGTTTTCGCAGTACTATATATATTTACATGAACACACGACGAAAATGATTTGAAGAAATATCGTAGAATTTCTTCAGATATCTGCTAGAGGGGGTCGTCCCCTTCCCCTACATATACATATATACTATATATAAATATATAACCCTCCCACTCGATGATGACGACAACGCGCAGCGTGATAACAATATAATTAAGGAGCAGGAAAGGGGTGTGGTGTATAGCAGATGTAGCAGGGGTCGCTATTGGGCTGGGGGTGGGGGATGTTACAACAGATGCTTGACTTATCAATTATCACGCGAAATGCAGTATTACAAAAAAGGGATATACACATATACATACATATATCTATATGTGTGTATATATATGTATTTTATTAATAAAAAAATGTGTGTGTTCCTTTGTGGGTTTTTAGCAAGGCTTCTAGCAAGCCTTTTTGCTTGATTATTAACAAAGACCATAAACAAAGAATAGTCTTTCGATTATACACATACATACATATATTTATATATTGTATATATACATATATATATATCTACTATAGTTTAAACAACATCAATATGATCACCAAAACATTGTAATTATTCCTGGAGCCTGGGTTTCTTTTTTGTTTGCGGATGGTCCCCGAAGCAGTTGTACTGCAACGCCATCCATCCATCACACGACAACAAAATATTCATATACGAATATATATATATATCGTATATACACATAGAGATAGAGAGATATATATATATAGCTTTAGAGCGGAGCGCGAGAGGTTAGAGAGAGAGATATAGATATAGATACAATAGATACGATAGTAAGCCTGTGAGGAGGCCTTAAGGGCCTTTTGTGTGTGTGAAGGGGAAGGGGGATGGAGGGTGATGGAGGGGGGAGAGATTTTATGGGGAGTGCCTACTGCGATGTGCTGAAATTTGATGGCGAAATGGAGGCGGGTGGCGTCTCCGTTTCCCCACCATCCACCTGATCCAGATCGGAACGTACCCTGGGCGTCGGTATGGGCGCACTGCTGCTGCCCAGCGATGCCTGGGACGATGCCGCTGCCTCCTGCTCTCGTTCCATCTCCAACTCCTCGAGTATCTGGGCCCTGTTCTGCTCCCAGTAGTACACAGGCAGTCGCAGTGTCGTGGTCAGGGTATCGTTGTGCTCCTCCAGCGAATTGGTGGCATAGTGCTCCACGAGCTTCTTCAGCGTGGGATAAATGTTGTAGGGTGCCGCAAAACCAAAGCCACTCTCCGTCTCATAGATGATGCAATGCTGAACATTACCCTTGCACACAATCGACAGCGCATAGTGGCCAGCATTGCGCACACGAATGAGGAAGGTTCCAGAGGGTGAGCCACGGAGCAGCTCCTCGGCATCACGACGCGTTGCATCCTTCAGGAACCAGTAGGACTCGTCCCTGTGTGGCAGATTCAAGACATTCTCGTACTGTTGCCGCCAATTCGCGAAACCCATCTCGAGTATGGCATTCAGATCTTCTTCTGTGAGATTGAATCCTTTCAGGCGCCTAAGAAAGGAAGAAAAAAAAAAGATTTGTGTTACAGAAATTGTTTAATTTAAGCGTTTGAGTTTTTGAAAGTCTTGTAAGCAGATGTAACGAATGAACTAATTATATATTCGAGGATACAACGAAAATTCTCCAATAAAATTCAAAATAAAAATATTAACCTACTGAAAAACTTGAAGAAAATGTACTCGAAAGACCTCTTCTTCGAATGGTGTTTTATTTAACAATAACTAATTTCCAAATAAATATGGCATTAGGCCCCTACTGTGTGCTATTTCAACTGGACACGAAACTGCGACGATAAAGTTGGGATGACGCTGACGCTGCCGCTGCCACTGCCACTGCCAACCGTTGTTGTTATTGTTGTTGTTGTTGCCGCTGCCGCCGTTGAGTCTACGCTCGTCTAGACCTCTAGGTTTCCTCATCACTGATCAGGCGATCAAAACGGGGAGGGGCTTCGGCTGCTTCGTTCTTTGTGTTGCGACGGCGACTATCCGAAGTGATTCACGTGTAGAAAGAGGTAAGCGATAGTCTCTTTGATACTAGTATCATATCATAAATCTTTGGAACCAGAGCGAACTAAATCAAGATACGAAAACGAAGCTCCACAAAGAGATAGACTCAAAGACCGGGGGACTATTCATTCCACTATCTAATCGTATAACCCAGTCGAAGTCCCAGTTCCAGTCCCAGCCAAGTGGGATCCCTACCCCATGCCCACGTTTTTTTTATTTCTTATCGCCATGAAGGTTCTAATCTTTAAATATTGTTACACAAACCTTGGAGGTTTTTTTTTTTTGCAAAAAAATATAAATGGACATTATATAGTTCATTTAATATATACATCTGTACATATATAATATGTATATATGTATGTATGTATGTAAATACATATGTCTTCCATATGTAGTACATAAACGACAGAACGGAACGGAATTATTAAGCACTTGGCAAACTTTTAAAGCCTGATAAGGAAAGCTATCTTTAGCAAAAAAAGTCGCTCGGCTCTATACCCTTATCTAACCGTCAGAGACTGCCTTTTTTTTGGGCTAGTCATTCGTTTGGTTTGTTGGGGCCACAGTCTAGGTAATGCCCATAGAAACCCCATTAAAGAGAGAGAGCCTGCTACTAAAACCCATTCAACGATGACGTACTACACTGTAAATGACTGTTGCTATGGCGGGGGATCATAGTTATATTGTTTAAGTATTTAATTAGAGAACTTATAGTATCTTAAAGAAGCGGAAAAGTGTTTATAATCGTAAAACAATGAAGTTAGCAAATTGGTTTAAAATAAATGTAATTATCCGTACAAATATTTAAGCAAAAATAGGGAAATTCCGTTCGAATAAGGTTTTTACTCAGATTCGCTACGGATAGATTTAGAACTTTATATGTACCATGTAGATCCAATGGAATAGGATATTTTATGGATTTAACCACCTCTTTAAGGGTTGTATGTATGGAAAGAAAATTTAAGACCGTGTGAGCCTACAAAAAAACTCATGAAAGATCGGGTTTTTGGTACAAATATTCCGTTAAATCATAGACAGATACTATGTGGATAGATCAAAGATGAATAGATGATAGATCTTGATTATAGAAAATCGTATTTATTTTACGAGAAGTTTTATAAATCTTTGGAAAAGATGTAACAGCCGCGAAGCAACGAAATGGGTTATAAAAATATCGCAGTGGAGGCATTGTGAGGACCTTTGCTGGCAAAAGCGAAGCTGGGATCTTTACGATCACGGCAAATCACTTGGGTTACTTCACGTTCCACAACTGTAACCTCGATGAATATGGCAGCTAGAGTCGGAGGAGGGCATCAATAAGATTCCTCTCAAGTTTTCCGATGGAAATCTCAGGTACAACATCAACACCAGAACGGCGGATATTCCGGTGACTCTTCAACTTCCCACGGATCTGTCCTCCGCTGGATCTTTCAGCAAAAGAAGTCTGTAAAGCATTTATAAAAATCCCCTCAAAATACAATAAATTATAGAAACCCCTCAAGAAAAGACTCCAAAAACTACATATATCCCTGGTAGTTTTCCATACATGCTTCCTTATATAAAACGACCTTGGCCACACTTCACATATACATATATGTATGTATGTACAAGTTTCCGCGATAAAAGGGCTCTTTCCTTTAAAAACTCAAGAAATTCTTGGAGTCTTGAACGCTCAATTGAAATACAAAAAAAAAAATAAAAAAATAACAATTGCCATTTACGATAAATACGACCTTGATGTGGCAAAAAAAAAAAGGGGGGAGAGAATATACTTGTATATTATATATTATCATTTTATATGGTCAAGCTATAAAGTGTTCCCTTCCCGCAAAGAAATTTAAATCCAAAGAGACTTTCTAATCAAATCGAATGATAACAGAGGGAACCGAACTGCGACCAAGGTAAATTGGGATTTTCCGCCCCCCAAAAAGAAGGGGGCGATATGCGATAGGAGATACTGTTACTCCCGCTAAGCGGACACGACTAAAGATATATAAAATATATAAGTATATATATACATATGTATGTTAGGGGTGGGGGGAATGCATGTATAGAGGAGTTTCCAGTTAAAGGCTTTTCAGGCACGTAGACCCCCAATGCGCTGGTGCTGTTGCTGTTGCTGCTGGCGTGGCCAAAAACCAAAGCCAAACAGTTAACAATGTTATGCCATTATCATCGGTATCGGTCAGACTTTGGGACTGGCTGACTGCCTGCCGGCTGTTCAGAATGAGCGATCGTCTGTCGACTCGTCTGCTGGCCCGCGTGTAAAATGAGCCAAAGCCAGAACCGAGCAACCGACCGATGATGATGATTTTTGTGCATTAACATTCCCTCAGTGGCTGGCAAAAACTGCCAACTGCAAACTGCAGTGCATGATACCGGCGAGTGACCAGGCCAGAGACACTCACAAACACACAGATACTCAGAGGCTCACACACAATCGAATAGAAGAGGGGTCTTCCATGAGTGTGTGTCTGTCGCTTGGTGGCTAACGGCTGGAGGCTTCTCCACGCTAATCAGCAAACCACTTGGAAAGAGCTTACACATATGAAATGACGTCAACGTGTTCGGTTCGGTATATGTAAGCGTAGCACTTACTCAACATATTTGTCCTTGCGCAACTGCAGCATCTGCAGCTCTGGTTTCGTGGCATTGATCTGACGCTCGAGCAGCAGCTCCTCCTTCTTCTTGCTTTCCATGTAGTGGTTCAACTGCTGAATCTTCTCCTGTATGACTTCGAGCAGGGCCAGGAGGTGGGCCTGGTTCTCCTGGAGGTTCTGTCGGGTATTGGCATTGTTGCTGCAGGCCGAAGCGGAGGGGCCAGCCGTACCAGCGGCCGAGCCGAGTGTGGAAGCTCCTCCGATTTCCGTTGCACTGCTCTCGCCGGCGGGTGTCTTCATCACCGATTCGTTGAGTTTGATTTGATCGCGAAATATCTTCTCGGCATTCCCAAACACGCCCTGATGCAGCTTCTTCTCCTGCAGCTCCTCGCGAATGGCATTGAAGGAGTTCTTCTTCTGGTCGAGGCCCTGTTCAACCTTCTGCAGCATCTGCGAGGTGCGTATAAACTCGTTGCTCAGCAGCGCCAAATCTCCATGCGGATGGGCGTCATCCTCCTCGTAGGCTCGCACAATCGGATGGCTTAGCATTATGTCCAGCGTCTTGTTGTACATTTTCAGGGAGTTGGCCTTGTAAAAGTTTACCATTTCCACCACCGAATTGAACAGTTTCTTCTCAATGAACCCGTACATGCCATTGATGTTGCAGATCTTGATCAGCTTCTCGTTCCCGTCCATCATCAGTGTCAGTGTGTATTCCCCCTTCTTGGAGAGCGCATCGCGCACCAGAAAGCTGCCATCGGGCATACCGTGCAGTATATTCTTTGCCTCATCGCGGGTAATTGGACCCCAATACCAGGGCGCCATCCGAAGCTCTTCCTCATAGGGATCGACCAGCGATCCGGGAGCCTGCGGCCGCATCGTCGAGTAATGCAGCGGTGAGGGTTGCACTGCAGAGAGAAGAAAAAGAAATGGTTGCAAGGGAAAAATTATTACACAGTTGAGAGATATTTTAACGATATTAACTACATAATAATAAGGAGGTCTCACAACGAGCTCGTCGCTTGCAATAAACTAGCATCAAATTCATGGGAGATTCAGAAGCTACGGGACCTAAGAGATATTTTGGATCTATGAGTCTAACACCAAGAGATCTCTACCCAATAGAGGTTCACAGAAAAGATAGATCTAGAGGTTCAAAGCTACATAAATCATAAACTCTTCAAATTATATTAGAGGGTAATAGATAGGGTCTTATCTTTCCATTGAATTTACAGTTTAACATGGAGATGTCCGTATGCAACAAACCCCAAAAGACTACACAAAAGATATCTCCAACCCAAACTCTCTCTCTCTCTGTCTCCCTCTCTAAGCAAATCAGATCTCAGCCCCAAAAAAAAAAACCTCTCACAGATAGTACGATATGCAATAGAGGTACGGTACACATGTAAGCGCTTATAGCGTTTATAGTGGCGTCCCGGCTCTCGCTTGTTGCCAAGCGCTCTCGCTCTGGCCATGCCGTCCGTGCCATCTTGGGCAACCCTGTAGCGAGGGGGGCGGGGAGCGACGAATTTGGTACTCACTTGTGTTGGCTGTTTTATTTGTCTCTGGGGGATGGGGGGGTGAGGGCAGAAGCAGGAGGTTTGCTGGTGGCGGCTTAGTTTTGATTATTGAATTTTGATTCGCGTATTTTCTTGTGGTGTGTTAATTTCACGCTTATAGCTCGGCACTACCACTACCGGAGGAGCACACACATCTTTCTATTCTCGATTTCGCGGAGACACGCACACACACATAAACAGCCAAACCACTAATACTACGGCAATACGACACTGGTTAAAAAATAAAAAGGCTCTAATGTACAGGATTCGTATGATTTTGTGTGATATTTCTCGATAATTGTGTCTAATTTCGTTACTTTAGTTCTGTGTTTATGGCCGGGCTTGTGGGGTAAACTTAAAACATTTTATACGGCACTTTTGGACGACACCATTTTTTTTGGGAAGAAATCGTGCGGCGTGGTGTTGGTTAACGTGATGTTCCACGTGATAGTCGGCATATCGATATATATTTTGTTACAATATATTTTTCGAATTTGCGATTTTGACACTGTCAATTTAGTCCATATCTACTACTATCTATGATTCTGTTCATTCGGTATTCTTGTATCTTCAAAATTGTTGATTCCACAGATTTTCGCACCAACATATCTTTATTAGCGATATTTTTTAACGATAATTTTAAATGGAATATATTGTGTCACTGATACTAGAGGTGGTATATCGTAGACAGAACAGAGAACTTTACAACACTTGGGAGGGATATTCAAATGGAAGCTCGTGTCATACCGTTCTTGGACTCATTTATTTTACATTCCAAAACTTATTTTAGAGCTAAGCTACAGCATATATTGTAGTATGAAAATAAGGATTTTGCGGATGGAGACCACTTCAGCCATCTGCGTAAATAAACTAGGCAGACACGTCGTTAGTTGTGTGTGTGTGTGTTTTGTGATTAATTTCTTTAGTTAGTTGTAGTTATAGTCGATCTGCGTTCTAGGCGTTGCGATTTCTAAGGTAATGTTTAGCGTTAATTGTTGTTTTTGTTGGTTTTCTTATTTTTGTTTTCCCTCTTCTTTATAAATTGGTAAACGATAGTTTAGTTATGAGGCTTGCGCCATAATCATAATGGTGCAATAAAGTTCGTATAATGCGTATTATTGGTTTCTTTTCATCTCCTGAATGTTTATCAATATGTTTTGTGTATTTGTATTATTTGTTTGTATGTGTATATGGAGTGCCTAGTGTATCTGAATGATGCCCGATTCCAGAAGTTTCATTATCTTATCGGCGATTGCAGGATTCTGCAAGTGTCTGTAAAACAAATATCAATTAGGAGAAGCTATTCGAAAAAAGGCGATCGAAAACTTACTCTTTCACAGCATTTGGATCGTTCTGCATCTGTTCGAGGATCATGCGCATGGCCGGGTCCTTGAGGATCTGCTGGATTTCGGGATCCGACATGGCATTCTTGAGCACCTCTTGGGGATTGCGTTGGAAGTTCATGGAGCTCTGGCGGTAGCCCTCGATGGCCTCGGCATTGTTAGGATCGAGTTCCAACGCCTTCTGGTAGGCAGCCGAAGCCTTGGAGGTCTGCTGCATGCCCTGCAGAATTTTTCCCTTGCGTATGTACCCCTTGATGAACTTCTCGTCCAGCTTGATGCAAGACTCGCAATCCTTGAGACCCAGATCAAAGGCGGCCAGCTTCGTGTAGCAGGCAGCACGATTACTATACAGCTTGGGATCGTCGGGATTGCGCTTGATCGCCTCGGAGTAGTGCTTGACGGCATTGCTGTAGTCACCCTTCTTGAAGTAGTGATTACCCTGCTCCTTCTCCTCCTCGGCCTTCTCTGGATTGATGTAGGCCTGGCGCTCCTCCTCCTTGATTTTGGCCTCCATCTCGCTGAGCGATGTCTTGATCTCCGGTGTCCGATGCTCCGACATGGCCTTCTCAAAGTAGATCCTGGCCTGCTTGTAGTTCTCCATCTTGCGGTAGGTGTTGCCAATACGGGCAAACGATTTGGCAATCAATTTGAAATCAGCGCGGCTCTCACGGCCCACCTCGATGCCTTTCTCGCACTGCTTGATGCACTCCTCGTACTCCTTGCGCTCAAAGTACACCGCAGCAATGTTGTTGTAGAACGTGATGTCCGTGGGATCATGTTCGATGGCAGCATTGTAGTGCTTGAGAGCAACATCGAATTCCTTCTTCTTGTACGCCGCATTGCCCAGCTCCTTCTCCAGCTTGGCAAAGTACTTCTTCTTCTCGTCCTCGCTCATATCCTCCACCCGAGGCTCGGCTGGCTTTGCCGGCTCGGCCGTTCTGCGTGGTGGGGAGGGTGCCCGACGTGCGCGCGGCATCTGTGGATCAATGTCCATGGGAATGTCGCCCTGCGACTGCATATAGCTAAGCACTGAGGCGGTGATCTCTTGACGGCCCTGCAGCAAAATTGCATTTGTGGGATCGTACTTGAGGCCTGTGCGGGGTGGAAGGGCGACGGTCGAGGGGGAGGCAAAGTGAGGTTATGTTGGGGCCAGACGAGATGATTCAACAAACACTTACCCTCGTTGTAGGCCTCGAAGGCCTTCATGAAGTCATGCAGGCCAGCTGCGGCAGCACCCTTGCGCGAATATCCCTTCGGCCAGGTGGGATTCAGGGCGATAGTCTGCTCGGCGTCCTTCAAAGCCTCGGCGAATTTTCCGGCTTTGGCAAAGGCGGCCGAACGGTTGCTGAACAGAACATGATTTTGGCTGTCCAGGGCAATGGCTTCTGTGTAGGCTGCAACAGCCTCGTCGAATTTTTCGGCATTCAGGGCCGTATTGCCCTTTTCCTTGAGTTCATTCACCTGCTAAATGGCCCAAAGGATGTAAAAATGTAAAAAGGATGTTCTCCTTTGTCCCGTTACTCCACCTACCTGGTCCATTATTTATACGGCCGATTTATAGCAATCGATTTCGTTCCTTTGTGAATGACTTGTTGAAACACGCTGTTTCACACGAAAAATTACAGAAAAATGCAAAATAGAGGTGTCAAACCATCGAGGGCACTATCGATAGTATCGATATTTTACTGCTAGCCTCTACTATCGACGGGTTTGCGACTATCATGATAGTATCGAGCTACAGTCGTTGCGCTTTTGATATGTTTGGATTGGTTGCTATAAAATCGACAGGTGGCATCTAATTTTTAGAATGGACAAGTTCCTAAAAGGTTTCAATGGTTTTTTAATAATTATTTGAGCCCGATACTATCACGATAGTCAATTGTTTTTTCCAAAACATGCAAAACTATCGATGGCTCAACTATCAATCGTTTCACAGCTCTAATGCAAATTGCAAAAAAAAATGCCGGCCATACCGTCTGACCCCTCAAAAATATACCCAAATAATACCTTATATTTTCCATAATATATCTTAAATATACTGACCATATAATTTGATTAGATTGATGAGTAAATTTTCTACAATCTGGGTAATTTTAATGTAATTTTATTCGATTACTTATAAAATAAGCTAAGAAGGTCAGAAAAAATGTCCCTTTTTTGGTAACTATGGTAACTACACGGTAACTACACATTTGCTACATATCAACTACTTGTGAAGTAATGCACCTTGTATGCCCTTTCCTTTCAATAATCTAGATTTCCTTCGGTTCGCTTAAAAGTAATTAAAAGTTCTCACAACGAGAGCAATGAATCTTATGGCAGCCATTAAGTTAAATCGCGACATGAGGATGTGTTTTATTGTAGAGTAAGGCAATTTTTATAACCAATTGGGAAATTTGCGTTTTTTCCCATTAAAAAAACAGTTTATAAAATCGATCATCATTGCATAGATGACACAAATTTCATCATATCCATTTTTTTGTTCCTTCCTTAAGGAAGCTTTTAAATGCTGAGAAATTTAGGATTTAATTTCAAATTTTAACCAATGAAATTCGGGAGTATATAAAGGTATACTTCAAGGTATATTAAATCAAGGTATTTTTGTAAAATCTAAAATCTTAAAGTTGGATGATGTATCAATAACATAACATAAAAGATAGATAAAATAAAAGATATACTCAAAACTCTCTCGACTCATTTTTGCGTGCGTTTTTGGATCAGAGTACTTGGCTAAAAGCAAAACATCGGCGTTTTATTTTCAAAATAACAATATACATATATGTACCATTTTTCCGGCATAAATTAAAGAAACGAAACTTTGAAACTCATTTTCCTGTATTTCCGGAATTTAATTAGTTTTCAGCCGAGATTTATCAATAGATATATGATATGAACAATATCTTGCTCTTTTTTTTTAACAGTAAAAATTTACAAAAATTAATTTTTTTCGCGGTTTAACTCAAGTTGTTCTTCACCTTTTTAAGTAGTGCGGGGTTAGGTGGGTTAAGTTCGTTTTCTCGGTATATTTACGGTATATATTTAGAAAATTAGAGGGTATATTTCGGTATATTTCTGCGGGTCTTCGAAAAATCCGCGGTCACACTGAATAGACGCTGCTTTTTTTTACGTGCGTGAAAATAATTTGGAAAAACTGGCGAAAACTATACACAGGGGGGAGGAAACGAATTAAATAGGCTAGCGTCAATCAACCATTGCTCGAATTGAAGCAAACCAGTTTTCCAGCAGCATTTTCGTTTCAGCTCCACTGTAATGGCGGAGTATTTGGCATCCATTTTTGGCACGGAAAAGGACAAGTAAGTCAAGTCAGCATGGTTGCACCTCTCCTGTACCTTGGGTTTTTGACTAATTAACGCTTGCAATTGCAGAGTAAATTGCTCGTTCTACTTTAAAATTGGCGCCTGCCGTCATGGAGATCGCTGCTCCCGCATACACAACAAGCCGACATTTTCGCAAACAGTTCTCCTGCAGAATCTGTACGTCAATCCGCAGAACTCGGCAAAGTCGGCGGACGGGTCACATTTGGTGGCCAATGTTTCAGACGAGGAAATGCAAGAGCATTATGACAACTTCTTCGAAGACGTTTTCGTTGAATGCGAGGACAAGTACGGGGAGATCGAGGAGATGAATGTGTGCGACAATCTGGGCGACCATTTGGTCGGCAATGTCTACATCAAATTCCGGAACGAGGCCGATGCAGAAAAGGCGGCAAATGATTTAAACAATCGCTGGTTCGGCGGCCGTCCTGTCTACTCGGAATTGTCGCCGGTTACCGATTTCCGCGAAGCCTGCTGCAGACAGTACGAAATGGGAGAGTGCACACGTTCCGGATTCTGCAATTTCATGCATTTGAAGCCCATCTCGAGGGAGCTGCGAAGATATTTATATTCTCGGCGTCGGCGTGCCCGCTCCCGTTCCCGCTCGCCACGTTCGCGTCGCTCCCGCAGCCGGGGGTCACGCTCACCCCGCCGACGTCGCGATGGCAACGATGGAGTCGGTGGAGGTCACTACGAGCAGCGCGACAGAGCTGCAAATGAAGGACGAGGCATGGACCGTGGTGGCAACGATCGAGGAGGAGGCAACGACAGAGGTGGCGGCGGCGGCAATGATCGGGGAGGCAACGATCGGGATCGTCGCAAAGGAGGTGGCGGTGGTGGTGGCGGCGGCGGCGGCGGCGCAGGAGGTGGTGGTGGTGGTCGTTATTAATCTTCTGGACTTTCTTCAACATCATGTTGCAAACGGCAATGTGGGAAAACGGACAAGAGTCGCCGATTCGTGTATTTTATTTCGACGTTCATTTTCCTTCTGATTGTTTTTTATTTAGAAGAAAGGGGTCTTCACCACCTATGTACAAACCCCCTGCTAAATACTTTACCGAGCGCCCATTAGGATTGTAATTACTATACACACATTCGTAATAATAAAAATTGAGTAAATACTATATAAAAAACAAAAACAAAAAACCAAACAAATGCACCATCTGGTGTTGGTCCGATTCTCTCTTACTGTTTGTACTTAGTCGCTGAACAATTTTGTGGACTACATAAATGAAAAGTTTAAACTGCATCTGTGCGCTGGCTTGGTGGCGCCTCCTTATTGGCCTCTAGATTTGTTGCAGGACTCTTGGGCTGTTGCTGCTGTGCGACATCCACCTGCACCGGCTGTGCTTGCGACTGAGACTGTGCCGGCGAAGAGGCCTCCAGTTGCTTCTTCAGTTGCTTTGTCATGTCAATTTGTTGCTGCAGCGAATAGGTGTTTTCGTGTTTCCGCCTCTGCTGCTGCTCCACGTCGCGTATAACACCCTCGTGCAGTTTGAGGCTGGAAAGCAATTCATTGATTTTAGTGTCATTCATTTACAATAATGCATTTGGTCTATCCTGCTTACCGGTCTTCGGATTGTTTATAATGTACATAGCCTATGATGGCGCTGGAAATTGTCACCGCCAAGCCCAGTGTCACCCTGGACGCCACCGACATGTTGAGTTTGGTGTCAAATTATTTGATTCTAAGGCCAATACTTTTAATTTCGTTTTCTGATAATGTTTTGGAGAGTTTTAGTTAAATTTTAGTTAATTACGACATGATTTGAAAGGAAAAAACCAGCCAGCCTGACTATATATTGCTATCGACAAACGTATGGATATCGATATATAGATATTCAAATTGCTGTGTTGCTATCGTTGGAAAAACCCTGGACGCCACCGACATGTTGACAACCACTTCGACGGTTGTAAATTACGTTTCTTGTCCAATGTAGCCTGGTTTGTTTTTCCAGAAAACCAGGTGACGATGACTGTGTGTTATCGGTACCGCTCAGTGATGCCAACTCGGTTGAAAATGAATGGACTCAGAATGAGCGCATTTATGAGTGCACATAAATGGCTGACATTGCGGGTGATTTTAAATTTAAGTGGTTTCGTAAATTTATGTAAATATGTGTGTGTGTCTTTTGCTAAACACTTCAAACTTAGTTTGTAATCTAACAATATATGTAGCTTAGCAGGTAAATTTAAATATAAAGTATATATTATGTATATATATTTGTGCTCAATTTGAGCTGCTCAATTAGCTCAATTTTTGAACTCAACAGTGAACTCAGTGCTTTTCGAACGTCTGGTCTCTCAATTTTTTGGCCGCGTCTGATCCGCGTATTTTTGTATTTGTATTGTCTACAAACATTTCTGCACAGCACAAGGTATTTCTGATTTGTATTTGATTTATTTGTATTAAGTTAATATTAATACGTGTTATTAAACGTGTTATTTACAAGTTATAGTGTGTAAATTTCGTAAATTATATATGTTTTGCTAAATATATAATATAAAGCATATATATTATTATATAAGTATATATATATATATATTTGTCTCGTCTCGTCGCTTCTGTCTCTTTGTGTCTCTTCTTCATATCATTTTTTTTTCTCCTGCCGTGTTCCTTTCTGTGTTTTTTTTGTCTGCATGAACGGCGCCGTGAACGGCGTGTTTTTTTTGTCTGCAATCGAAACTGAAATGAAATCGTCTGAAATTCCAATGTTTTCTTTTTTCTTTCCAGTTGCAACTAAAAGTGTTACAAATATTGCTGCGTGTTAGGAGGTAATTTGTATTAAGTTAATATTAATATTAGTTTAAAGTAAAACGTGTGTGTGTGTGCATTATTGCACCGTAATGAAAAATTATTCAAATAAATTTATTTTATAGAATTCTGCTGGACCCATCCTTCACCATGTTCTCGTCGAGCCGGCGGGATATGTTGCTGATGCGAACATCGGATGATACAGGAACTTGTTGATGTCCGAGGAGCGCAGGCGGTCGCGTATCTCGATCTCCGAGACGAGCAGCACCTGCCGCGAGGAGTATATGGAGCTGAGGGGATAAGCCTCGTAAGAGAAGCGAATCTTCGACAGCACATCCAGGTTTCTGCGCGAGCCCTTCGGCTCCTTGGGCAGTCCTGATCCCTTTTTCGTTGTCTTCTGCTCGCTTTGTGGCTGCGATACGCCGTATTTGTCAAACACAAAAATAATTATATAATGTATTTATTATATATATATATTATAACAATGTATTGGTAACAATGTAGTGGTATTATTGGTCCATTGTCCATTGGACAAATGTAAGTATTATTATTGCTCCAGGCCGCGTGTTGTACCGGGGCCTCTGCAAGCAACATATAGAGGCGTCAAATCGGGCTAAACACCTGCCGGCATATATTGCGCGTGTTGTACCGGGGCCTCCTGCGGCACATATTGCGCGTGTTGTACCGGGGCCACCTGCGGCACATATTGCGCGTGTTGTACCGGGGCCTTCTTGAAGCTATGTAAATATATAATGTGGTGTGTAGCTACTTACGTTGTATTGGAGTGGTGCCTGGGCCTGCTGGGCAGGCAGCACATTATGCTGCCTCAGGCGCTCCAGCAAGGCGCGCCCGTCGGCTGCCATGCCGCCCGTTTCGCCACGGTGGGCGGCCATCATCATCGCGAACGCTCTGTCCCAGATGGCTTGCCTACGATCCTGCCTTTCCCTTAGGGTGTTTGTGCGGCCACCCTACCTCCACGGTGAAGGGACATCTGGAAAGGAAAATATGATATATATATATATATGGTACTACTTACGTTGAGAAAACGAAAAAAAAGGAAAATGAGAAAAACCTTCTGTTGAACTGTACTGTAGGTGAAGCCACGTGCTTTCCGTATGTTCAATAACGCCCGCCAAAAAAACCTAGAAGACCCCGGCCGCCGACGACGCCGTTCAGTTGAGCTAAATGAGCGGCGCGGCTCAATTATTGAGCACAAAATAAATATATATATTTTATTTTTAAATTGACCTGCCAAGCTACATATCATTGTTGGATTACATATCATTTTATTTTCATTTGTTTATATTTTCTAGAGCGAACAAACTTTAAGGTAAATTTAAAATTACCCGCAAAGTCAGCCATTTATAAATGGCTCATTTTGAGCACTTTGCGTCCATCCTTTTTCCACGAGTTGGCATCATCTCATCGGCCTATCTGGTCACACTCATTTTTCTGCAAGCCGCGCCGGTTTTGTTTAGAGTCGGAGCCGACTGGCAGCAAGCATGCATGTGTTGTGTACGTGTACACTCCAAAATATATGATTGTATGTATAGAATAATTTTTAGCTGCCGAAACCGACTTTGTTCGAGATTTCAGTTTACGTAAACGTGTGTGTGCCATGTATTCACACATACTGTGCTTGTGTGTGGGCTCTACAATTTTTGGCCGCTTGAATTGGTTTTTCGTTTTGTTTTGAGGGCTGATGTGATGTAGCGACCTGTGCTGACCTGCCGCAATATAACTGAGGAATGGGCAGAGGGGTGGGGGTGGGAAATAAATACAATATATAAAAATAAAGGATGTTATCTCTGTCATATCTCCTAAACTAAAATTATCTTGAAAATTAGATTCGCTAAAGCTCTGGAAAATGTTCTACTAGATAAGTTCATTTATTTTATTCAAAGCGTTCATAAAATATTTGTTAATTTTGCAACCTCTTTTTGGCTGAGTCTCCACTGTAAATACACACAATGCAAACAAATAACAACTTTAAAACCAAACTCGACCTAAATTAACCATATAAGTGTGGATTGAAGGAACACATACCCTGTGATCGAGCTCCCCAGCGCTTTGCACCGACTGTCTGGCCCACGTAATCCAGGTCGCAAGCCAAGGATACCGCCGAGGACGGCTGCAAAACCTTCTTTGTTGAGGAAATTTCCTTGTGTCCCCCAAACACACACATCTGGCCGGTCATGAAGTTCCGGGGAGGGTTCTTTTCTCTCCGACTCAAGATGGTTGGGGCGGAGTTGCCAGCACGGTGCGTAGGCGCAAATCGGCCCTTTAAAACCCAATTGCAAATTCAATTGGCTTACTGGCTAATAAACCAAGGTGAGCACGGCAGCACTGGCAATTATTTGCAACATTGGCGAGCAGGTAGCTAGGTCGTAGCAGACGCGCCTAGTGGAAATGCTACCGCGCGGATAGGTTCAACACCGCGCTGTTTTGGAAATGATGACCAACCTCGTGACGTATGGAAATGCGGAGTGCATGGCCAACCAAGTCATGGAAAACATCGATGCAGCATGCGCCGCCACCATGGCTCAGAGGAAGCATTAAGGGCGCCACCACCAACCAGTATTCTGGTGGAACGAGAGCATTGCCGAGGCACGCCGGGAATGCAACCACGCACGACGCCGCTACCAGCGCTCGAATACCCTGAAATTGCTAGAAATGAATTAATAATAATTGAATAATAATAATAATAATTGTATAATAATATTTCCCGATTCCGTGTTCTTCATTTTTCAGTATATTTTCCATATATATATATTTTCAGTGTTGTATTCAGTATATTTTCGCAAAATGCATATGTACATACATGCCGTAACGGTAAAAATATACATATACATAACACACTGTGCGCTATATTTTAAAAATTATAAATTAAAACAATATACAAGGTTTAGTTTTATATTTTTTTTTATTTTTATGTCATTTTTGCTCTCCGTCGCTCTCCACGACCACAATTTCTCCTTCGCCGTCGAAATCGATCAGATTGACGATATTGACTTCCTGCGGTCCTGCGGCACCAGGTTCTGCGGCACCAGGTCCTGCGGCACCAGGTTCTGCGGCACCAGGTTCTGCGGCACCAGCTCCTGCGGCACGTACGGGGCCCGGCGTCCTCCACGACCTCGGCCATGGCCACGTCCTCTACGTCCTCCACGTCCTCCACGTCCAGGCATCATGGCCAGGAGCAACTCCTGCTGCATGGCGTGCGCCCGTGACAGCTCCATTCTAGTTGACACACTCTGCATAAAGGCGCGCCGAAAATCTCGGGCTCTCATAGCGCCTTGTCCCTTCTTCCTGTTTGGATCCATATCTGAAAAGAAAATAATAAAAAGAAGTATAAGTAGTACATATAAGTATATATACAGCATATGCTACATATGCTGTACATGCTACATGGCTTGTGTACTATGTGTGTGCTATGCTCTGTACACTGCATATTTCGTACATTGGGGGCAGTTTATTAGCATAAAAATGCCAATCTATTGTAGTTCAAACCAATACCAAAATAACAAAATCAAGACAAAGTTCGAGCACCTGGTGGATCGCGTATTGGATTGGACACACGCCCTAGTACTTCCACTTATTATCCGACCTAAAAGTGGATTCTCGATGGGGCAACCCTCTGATGCGGTTCAGCCATCCTGAGTCGGTCTTGGGACACTAACCATACAGTATATAGATGTGCCAGTTCATACAACGAAAGGGGCGCAGCTGAGTTTGCAGCGTACGTTCCCAGATCTTTGGCTTTGGGAATGGCCGCGTTGGGCTCATGACGTCACACGAGCCGACTGGCAGCAAGCATGCATGTGTTGTGTACGTGTACACTCCAAAATAGAGTTGGGTTGCTCATGAGTGAGTGAACAAAAATGAGCTGTTCACTTCACTGAGTGAACTGAACATGCTCACTCAATTTTTGTTCAGTTGTTCACTTGTTCAGTTGTTCACTCAGTTGTTCACTTGTTCAGTTGCTCACTCAGTTGTTCACTTGTTCAGTTGTTCACTCACTTGTTCAGTTGTTCCCTGTTGACTCACTTGTTCAGTTGTTCCCTGTTCAAGCACTTGCTGCACACAAGACAAAATTACTTTTAGCCATATGACATTAGTTAGACAATTTTGCTGCGTAGAGAGGGATTCTTACTTTTATGTATTGTTATTCTTTAATATTTGGGGGGGTTTTGCTAAACATACTTATTCATACATATGTACATCTATTTGTATGTATTTCGAATGAACCACAAAAATAAACTGGGGAAAATTAACAAATGTTTGAAAAACAAAGCATTGAACTGAGTGAACCACTGAACAGGGAACAACTGAACAACTGAACAACTGAACAACTGAACAAGTGAACAACTGAGTGAACAACTGAACAAGTGAACAACTGAGTGAACAACTGAACAAGTGAACAACTGAGTGAGCAAGTGAACAACTGAGTGAACAAATGAGCAACTGAGCAAAGTGAGCGAGTTGTTCACTCACTTAAAAGTGAGCAACTGAACTTGTTCAGTAAAGTGAACACTCTTACCCAACTCTACTCCAAAATATATGATTGTATGCATAGAATAATTTTTAGCTGCCGAAACCGACTTTGTTCGAGATTTCAGTTTACGTAAACGTGTGTGTGCCATGTATTCACACATACTGTGCTTGTGTGTGGGCTCTACAATTGTTGGCCGCTTGAATTGGTTTTTCATTTTGTTTTGAGGGCTGATGTGATGTAGCGACCTATTCAGGGCCGAATCAACCCTCAACCGGGTTGGGCCAACCATCAATCTGGGGCCCTCCTTTATTTTGTATTTTTCTCAGTGGCTATTTTTTTTTATTCATTATTTGGAGTTTTGTTTTTTCAACAACATTTTTCTGTTATTTTCAGGAGGGCCCTAGGCAACTGCTAATCCGGCCGCCCTGTTCCCGTCGTAAGACTTCATATTTTCTTGGTGTGTTCTGTCGCTCGACTGCTCGCGGGTCGGGTCTGCATGGACGAAGCCGAAGCAGAGGCAAAGGCTAGCCTAAAAGAGAATGGAAGAAAGCGCCCGCGCGCCGCCGCAACATCAGCTTTTCAAAAAAAACACGAAAAAATATTTTATGAACGGGCTTCGTCAATGCCTTGAAAAAACAAAACTCCAAATAATGAATAAAAAATATAATAGCCACTGATAAAAATACAAATTAATAAAGCAAACATTAAATTTATAAGTTTTTATTTCAAATGAAAAAAGAAGGAACTGGCGTGAAAAAATGGAGGGCCCCAGATTGATGGTACGGCCCGTTTGAGGGTTGATCCGGCCCTGAATAGGTCGCTACATCACATCAGCCCTCAAAACAAAACGAAAAACCAATTCAAGCGGCCAACAATTGTAGAGCCCACACACAAGCACAGTATGTGTTAATACATGGCACACACACATTTACGTAACCTGGAAGCGAAACTCAAAACAAACTCAAAACGGTTTCGGAAAATAAGAATTGATACAAAATTTTGTCGTGTCTGTTTACACACATACATTTGCAATTCTCAGCTTGCTTTCGCTTCCCGACATGAGTCATACATGCCGAACGGCCCAGCTCCCGACCCGAATGGCCTGGCTCCCGACCCGAGTGTCTCAGCCTCACAGAGCCGAAGCGCTGGGAGCCGGGACAGAACACTCAGCTTGAGCCCCTTTTGTTGTATGAACTGGCACATCTATATACTGTATGGTTAGTGATCAGACCCACATGATTCGGCTGCTGCTGTTGCTGCGATTGGAGCTGCTGCTGCTGATGGGCTGCCTGCTGCTGCTGCGCGGTCAAATGGTGGCCCGGGGGCGCTGCATTCGGCACATGCTGGCCGTAGGCCGAGGCCTGATTGGTACCACCGCCGCTGCGGTTGTCGTTGCGTGGCCCGAAGCCCCCACCGCCCAGACGCGGGGCTCCGTTGCGCAAGTTGTTGCCACCGCCGCCGGCATTGTTGCGCATCATACCACCGGTGCCATTGTTGTTATTGCCCATTGGTCGCGATTGTGGTCCGTTATTTCCACCCAGACGTCCTCCCATGTTGCTGTTGAGGCCATTGCCGCCGATGGGTTGACGTGGTCCGTGCTGGCTCTGCTGCTGCTGTTGTTGCTGCTGAGGCGTGGGCGGTTGCTGTTGCTGCTGCAGGTGTTGCTGCTGCTGCTCTTCGCATTCACGCTTCAGCGGTGGTTGTGCTTCCCTCTGATAACGACCGCTGGGGACAATAAAAATTGTATTATATTATATGTCAAGTACAGTGATGGAAAAAATAATAGAAACGACAATTTTTTTTCGCATTTTTCAAAATTTTCTTCAGTCAAAATTTTTATTTTGTAAGTTTAATAATTTTGATTGATAGTCTATACAGCTATGTATCAAAACATTACAAAATAATAATTTAAAAAAAATTAGTGTAGCAAAAATAAATTTTTTCATTTTTAGGGCCTGGAAAAAATAATAGAAACGGCCGACTTAAAGCTTTGAAAAACCGTTTCTTAGGATTAAGGTCTGATATTCCATCAGGCCAATCCATCAGGAAAACTTCTTTGTCCAGGAACCATTTGTTGGTCAGCATTTAGGAGTGATTCGGGTCATTATCCTGATCGAACTACCACTTTAATGGTATTTCCTCTCAGAATTATATTGTCGAGTATATTTACATAGGGAGGCACACTTTTTTTCTATATCCAAAGTATTGGGACCAATAATCGAATGGATAAAGCATCCCCACAACATTATGTGCCCACCACCATGCATACTATGTACATACCTTTCCAAGAAGAAATTGAAAATTTTTATTTCCGACCAATTTTGTTTCCTTGCTCCTGGGTATACCTCAAAGGTCAACATCTTATTTACCCTCTTCTTTGGCACCGATGAGGGCACGACATGTATTATCATGCCCTCATCGTCGTTCGCCTCAGGATGTATATATATATGCTTCATATTTTTTTTTTTTATTTGATAAAAAATCACAATAATTAAAATGAAACACGTCGTTGCAAGATGGAAAATGCAGCTGTCATCGTGCAAAAAAAAGCACTTGTCAAATCCTATTTCGCTTTGTCATTACAGGACGGTTTTTTTTTATACCAAAAAAAAAAAAATACTTTTCACTTTGGTCAGACTATTTTCAGGATGGTTTTTGTCTTGGGAAAAAATAATAGAAACGCATTCAAATTTTTTCTAATATTGTGATTGTTTAGGCCTAAGAGCGCAAATTCACCACTCTTTGGCAACATCTTAGTTAAGGTTCATTTGTAACTCTTACAAAGGAACATCATGATGGAACATGAATTCAGATGGAAAATATAAATGAAGAAAAGAATAGTTTTTATTCACCCCCAAAACAGTGATAAAATGGCTAAAATCAAATTATAGAGGCAATATATTATCGCTAAAAGACAAAAGAATATATGAAATACTAATATGAAATAAAACATATCAGATATTATCTAAAATGGATTTTTTTAGAAACGGAGTAAATTTCGCGAAGGTGCATTTATGTCGTCCAAGATAGAAATATGTGTTAAATTAATATTATATCGCTCAAATTTATTGTGTAACATTTTGTTCTTTTCAAATTTTCAGAAATGTAAACATAATAACATCCAGAGCCTTTGTCAAGCAGAGAAAAACAGTAACATCTCTCCTCTACGTCCTCCACGTCCAGGCATCATGGCCAGGAGCAACTCCTGCTGCATGGCGTGCGCCCGTGACAGCTCCATTCTAGTTGACACACTCTGCATAAAGGCGCGCCGAAAATCTCGGGCTCCCATAGCGCCTTGTCCCTTCTTCCTGTTTGGATCCATATCTGAAAAGAAAATAATAAAAAGAAGTATAAGTAGTACATATAAGTATATATACAGCATATGCTACATATGCTGTACATGCTACATGGCTTGTGTACTATGTGAGTGCTATGCTCTGTACACTGCATATTTCGTACATTGGGGGCAGTTTATTAGCATAAAAATGCCAATCTATTGTAGTTCAAACCAATACCAAAATAACAAAATCAAGACAAAGTTCGAGCACCTGGTGGATCGCGTATTGGATTGGACACACGCCCTAGTACTTCCACTTATTATCCGACCTTAAAGTGGATTCTCGATGGGGCAACCCTCTGATGCGGTTCAGCCATCCTGAGTCGGTCTTGGGATCTATTGCGATGGGCGGCCGCACTTCCTTCTTGCTAATCAGGCTGAACAGCAGCCAGTCTACTGCTCCTGGCCTTCACTACGGTCACACTATTGCATTACACTATTTCTTCATAAGGCGAAGAATAGGGAATAGGTCCAAGGCCGGATTAGCAGTTGCCTAAACAAAAGGAAAATGAGGAGCGTAAAAACAAAAACACGTCCTGGTCACTACGAAAGAGAACGATATTTATGTACATACCTTTCCAAGAAGAAATTGAAAATGTTTATTTCCGACCAATTTTGTTTCTTTGCTCCAGGGTATACCTCAAAGGTCAAAATCTTGTTTACCCTCTTCTTGGGCACCGATGAGGGCATGACATGTATTATCATGCCCTCATCGTCGTTCGCCTCAGGATGGATATATATGTGCTTCATATTTTTTTTAAAATTTGATAAAAAATCAGAATAATCAAAATGAAACACGTCGTTGCACCAAAAAAAAGC